CACGCCTGACTACTGTTTTGATTTTTTGTCGAGATGAGGTCTTGCTGTGTTGCCCAGGCTGGTCTCCAACTCCTGGGCTCAAGTGACCCTCCTGCCTCAGCCTCCCAAAGTGCTGGGATCACAGGTGTGAGCCACCAGGCCCAGCAGGAGGGCCTCATTGGATGCTGGGGACACAGCCTCTGAGACCTGAGAACGCTTGCCCAAGGAGGCGTGCTCAGCTGGGTACAGGCCATGGAGGAACGTCCCTGGTGACCACGTGGCCTCTTCCTGAAGCCGGGGCCTGGGCTCCGGGCTCTGCACAGAACAATCGACAACGGGGCTTCCTCTCTGCGACCGGAAGGTGGCCTCCCCCATCTGCTGGGCCCTGCCGGAGGCGAGGGCGGGGTGGGTGGGAGAGGGAAGTCCTTGCTTCAAGGCTCTGGGGTGGGAGGAAGTGGGGAGGGGATGGCCCAGCCCCAAGAGAACTCCCCTGGACCTGCCCTGGCCAAGCAGTCCCTGCAGCTGAAGCCTACCTTCCTTCCCTGCGCTGGAAATTCCCAGAGACGCGAGAAGGCACAACTGTTGTGACCGGCGAAATGACAAGTCACACACTGACGTCCTTTTTTTGCTCATCAGAATTGGGAGAAACGAGGAAGACCAGTCATGCCCAGTGTTGGCAGAGGGGAGTACTCTCACCTGCTCTGTGTCCTGGGCTGTGCCACGGCAACTCACTTGTGCACGCCATTCCACTCGAGGCTCTACTTTTAGGATCTGACTTACAGAAACCGTGTGCCCCGGCCCGGGGCTGGAGGCATCCAGAAATCACCTTCTGAACAAGTGTGAATTAGCCAACGTATGCACGGGACACCGGGACCTACAGATATTTGTGTGAGGATGTTCATTCCAACCCCATTCCTAGTAGCAAAAAACTACAAGCAACTTCAGCATCCTGCAACAGGGATGGACTCTGTCTCCAGTGCAGGCTATGACAAGGAGGGCCCACAGATCATCCCACATGGGAACATGATATTACGTTGCTGTGTTTTCTTAAACAAAAGTAGTAGTTGGGTGTGGTGGCTCACACCTGTGATCCCAGCACTTTGGGAGGCCCAGGCGGGAGGATCGCTTGAGCCCGGGAGTCCAAGACCAACCCTGGGCAACATAGCGAGACCTCGTCTCTACAGAAAAAAAAAAATTAGCCTGGTATGGTGGTGCATGCCTGTAGTCCCAACTACTCGGGAGGCTGAGGTGGGAGGATCACCTGAGCCCAGGAGGTAGAGGCTGCAGTGAGCCCTGATCGGGCCCTGTACTTCAGCCTGGGCGACAGAGTGAGACCCTGATTTAAATTAAAAAAAAAAAGTTAAAAAAAAGTTGTAAGCCGGGCTCGGTGGCTCAGCCTGTAATCCCGAGCCTTTGGGAGACTGAGGTGAGTGGATTGCCTGAGCCTGTGGGTTCGAGACCCACCTGGGCAACTTGGCGAGACCTCATCTCTACGATAAACCAGAAAAAATCAGCCGGGCGTGGTAGCGCGCGCCTGTAGTTCCAGCTACTTGGAAGGCTGAGGCAGAAGGATCGCCAGAGCCCAGCAGGTCGAGGCTGCGGTGGCCGGGAACGGCCACTGCACTCTAGTCTGGGCGACAGAGTGAGACTCTGACTCAAAAAAAAAAAAAAAGTTGTAAAACAAACGTAGGGTAGGAACTCATTTTTGTTGAAAAGAAAACACCAAAGTTGGGAGTATCTCCGGTGTATGTGCAGAGAGAAAGGACTAGAAGGATGTTTACTGAGGTATGATGTGGTGAGTAACCTCAGGGGGGAGGGGAGGTGGAGATAGATGGCTTTTGTTTTTCACTTGAAACATGTCTTCCTGGCTTGCTTTAAAAAAAAAAAAATTGAATAAGAAGCGCGTATTTGGGCCGGGCACGGTGGATCACACCTATAATCTCTTTGGGAGGCTGAGGTGAGAGAATTGCTTGAGGCCACAGGTTCTAGACCAGCCTAAGCAACTTAGCAAGACATCATCTCTACAATAAATCAAAAAACTAGCTGGGTGTGATGACACATGCCTGTAGTTCCAGCTACTTGGAAGGCTGAGGCGGAAAGATCGCCTGAACCCAGCAGGTCGAGCGTGCTACTGCACTCCAGCCTGGGTGACGGAGTGAGTCACCAACTCAAAACATAAAAAAAGAGGCATGTATTTTATAGCTAAAAACTCAAATTAAACAGGCATTGTTGACCTTTCCTTGCCTGAGCCCACGGGTTCGAGACCCACCTGGGCAACTTGGCGAGACCTCATCTCAGGAGTCCAGGGCTGTGTCTGGAATACAAGGGGTGATGTGGACCAGGTGCGGTGACTCAGGACTATAATCCCAGCACCTGAGGCAGGAGGCTCACTTGCGCCCAGGAGTTTGGAACCAGCTTAGGCAACATAGTGAGACCTTGTCTCTACAAAAAATTTTTTAAAATTAGAAGTCCCAGCCGGGCTCGGTGGCTCAGCCTGTAATCCCGCGCTTTGGGAGGCCAAGGTGAGTGGATTGCCTGAGCCCGCGGGTTCGAGACCCGCCTGAACAACTTGACGAGACCTCATCTCTACAATAAATCAAAAAATCACCCGGGCATGGTAGCGCATGCCTGTAGTTCCAGCCACTTGGAAGGCTGAGGCGGAAGGATCGCCGGAGCCCAGCTGGTCGAGGCTGCAGTGGCCGCTCCCGGCCACTGCACTCCAGTCCAGGCAACAGAGTGAGACGCCAACTCAAAAAAAGTAAAAACAGTTTTTAAAAAAGAAAATTTACCAAATGACAAAATCTGTACAATGGTGAAACAGGTTGGATAGTCCCTAAATTCCCACTGGGCCCGTGTGAAGGTTTGAAACCAGGGCTGGGCAGGAAAGTTCAAGTCCTAATCTGTTTTTTGTTTGTTTGTGTTTTATTTTGAGTTGGAGTAGCACTCTGTCGCCCAGACTGGAGTGCAGTGGCATGCTCCTGGCCACTGCAGCCTCGACCTGCTGGGTTCTGGTGATCCTTTCACCTCAGCCTTCCAAATAGCTGGAACTACAGGTGCGCACTACCACGCCTGGCTAATTTTTGATTTATTGTAGAGATGAGGTCTCACCAAGTTGCCCAGGTGGGTCTCGAACCCGCGGGCTCGGGCAATCCACTCACCTCAGCCTCCCAAAGCGCAGGATTACAGGCTGAGCCATCGAGCCCGGCTTATCTAGCATATTTCAAAGGTGATTTTCAGGAGAGGCTAAATTTGGTTGATTTGTTTTAGAAGAAGTGATTAGGCCAGGTGTGGTGACTCACACTTGTAACCCCAGCACTTTGGGAGGCTGAGGAAGGAAGGATCACTTGAGCCCAGGAGTTCGAGACCAGCCTCTATGAAAAATTTAAAAATTAGATAAAACAAAAAGTGATTAATACGAAAGAAAAAATTTAAGTGAATAGGAAAACAGGAGACACGAAGACAGGAGCAAAATGAAGACCGAGATGTGAATTTAATAAACTCTGCCCCGAGACAAAGTAGACTTGCACTCTGTAGCTCTGGAGTCCAGAACTCAGTTCCCTCACCTGGGGACTTGCAGCGAGAGCCCCGGGGACCCTGAGACTTAGCAGGACAGTTGGGGACCCCTGGGGCCTGAGAGGACCCTGCTTATGCTGGGGAAATGGCCCTGGCCCGCTGCCCAGCTGGAAGGAGGACTAATTTGTGGTTGTGAGAAAAGCCCAGAGCCCTCAGTCTGGTTCTTCCCGCAGAGGTCAGGAAGGGAGTGGTCCTGCTGGCCTGGGCCAGGGTCACGCAGGAGGCAGGTCACATGCTTCCTTCTGAGACACATCTTCCATGGTGGTATGGTGGACGTGTCCGCCACCTTCCCCGGAGCGACCTTCTGGTGGGGCCAGCTTCCGGCTGGTGGCTAGGCCGGTAGCCCTGGGCTCGGGCCATCCCCCAGGGCGACCCTCGCCCAAACTGGCTGGTGTCCCCTAGTAGCAGCCTCTACCTAATTCCAGCCCCCCACAAAGCCCCTCTGTAACCCCCTCAGAGTCACGCTCTCAGTGGGTCGTGCTGCTTAGCGTGTGTGCACACGTGCGTTCACACGTGGGTTCATATATGTGCATCGGGTGAGGTTCTGTTAGAGTCCTGTGGGTAAGAGCTGGCTCAGGCTGGGGGCCTTTACCACACTGCTTCCCAGTTGTGTGACCTTGAACCCGGCCTCTGACTTCCCTAAGTCCCCTCTGTAAGGTGCACCCCGTGTCCTGTGTGCTCAGGGAACTGTACCGGCAGTCACCAGCCGTGCTGAGGTGACCATCCGTCCTGCGAGTGGCTCTGAGCGGCTTTGGGGGTCTCAATCCTTACAGAGACCCTCATGGGCTCCAGCCTCGAGGGAGACGACCCGACACGCTGAAGGACATCGATCCCCACCGCAGACATTGATTGTACCAGTTCTGGGCCAGGCGCTTTGATACATCCAGACTCCCGGCCACGTGCTCCATCTGGGGAAGGGACTGTCAGCAGAGGCGCACATTGTTATTTAATCACCCTCATGCAGGGCCACGGGGCAGTGGGGCGAGGATCCCGTGGCATTGAGTTCTGGGTCCACCTGTGGAGGGGTCCGGGTGGGCTTCCCCGGGGTGGTGGCTGAGACCTGGGGGCGTGATGACCTGCTACCTAGGACAGGAGGGGGAGCAGGAAGACGCTGCCCCTGGTAGAGATCCCTGAGATGGGATGGGCACGGCCCATCGGAGGCGCTGAGGGCAGCTGGTGGGTCTGTAGCCCCAGGGGATGTGTGTATGAGTGTGTGTGTGTTTGTGCTCACGTAGGCGCTGGGCTTCAACTGCATCTGGCTTTAAAGGCAGTAGGGAGTCCTGGCAGGTTTAACAGGTTAGAGCCACATAATCAGATTTGTGTGTGTTGTTTTGTTTTTTGTCTGAGTCGGAGTCGCACTCTCTTGCTCAGGCAGGACAAGTTTTCATTTATTTTGCAGACGCTACTAGGCAGTGTGTGCTTATTTTTATGTTGAGTCGGAATCTCACTCTGTCACTCAGGCTGGAGTGCAGAGGCACAAGCATGGCTCACCACAGCCTCGACCTCCTGGACTCAGGCAATCCTTCTGCCTCAGCCTTCCAAGTAGCTGGAACTATAGGCGTGCACTACCACGCCGGGCTTATTTTTTTGATTTATTGTAGAAACGAGGTCTCACCAAGTTGCATAGGCTGGTCTCGAACCCCTGAGCTCAGGCAATCCTCTCGCCTCGGCCTCCCAAAGTGCTGGGATTACAGACTTGAGCCACCGCGCCCGGCCAATTTTTGATTTTTTATAGAAGTGAGGTCTCACAATGTTGCCTCAAACTCCTGGGCTCAAGCAATCGTCCCACCTCAGCCTCCCAAAGTGCTGGGATTACAGGTGTGCGGCACTGTGCCTGGCCAGGTGTTTGAACTTATTCACAACACTCCCCTTTTCCAAGCAGATGCTGATTTTTTGACTTATTGTAGAGACGAGGTCCTGCCAAGTTGCCCAGGCTGGTCTCGAACCCCTGGAGTCAGGCAATCCCCTCGCCTCCGCCTCCCAAAGTGCTGGGATTACAGATGTGAGCCACCTGCCCGACCAAGTATGTATTAACTCGTCACCACAGAGCCCTGGCAGCCAGATGGGGGTGGGATTGTCCTCGGGCTACGATGAGAGAGAGGCTTAGAGTCCGTGACTTGGCCACAGAACAAGTAGCCAGGGCTGATGCTGGACCCCGGGCTGCCCCAGGTCCCCTCGAAACCGTGCCCTGACCATGCGCCCTTCCGCCTCTAGGGCAGGGAGACCCATGTGGCCTCGTGACAATTTGGCCCTGGCTCTGAGTAATGCCCCTGCTGTCTGCCAGCCCAGGAGGGCCGTCATCTGTCTGTGACTGGGCCAGGGCGTGGACACTTGGGGGCTGGGGAAGGGCAAAGCAGCCACACGGCTGGGATTGGCGAGAGAGGGGCCGCCCTGGTGCGCAGCCTGCTCCTCAGAGCCAGGCTGGCAGCCCGTGGGAAGTGGGTGGGGCCGAGGCGGGAGCTGAGTTCCTCCTGCAAGTGTGCTTTCTGCCTTGTGTATGTAATATGCAAGGGGGACCCCAAACACCCGGAACGGATGTATAAAATATTGTGTGTTTATTCTCACATGTTTGAACTTCAGTCGCCTCCCAAGTACTCTCCGCTTGATGCAATACACCTATGGAGACGCTTTTTCCACTGCGCAAAAACAGCTTTTGAACTCGTCCGTTTTGATAGCTTTTCGTGCTTCTGCTGTTTTTTTGTTTCACCTCTTCCACATCGGCAAGATGTTTGCCTTCGAGGATTTTTGTCATCCGGGGAAAACAAAAATGTCGCTTGGGGTGAGATCGGGTGAATAGGGAGGGTAGGGCACAGGGGTCCTGCCGTTTTGGTGTCAAAAGCTGCTGAATACTCGGTGCAGTGCGGGCAGGGGAGCTCATCCAAGTCGCCCATCCTGAAATGGGCAAATGCATTGAAAGAATCTCCCCCCCAAAATTAACTGAAGCCAAACGCAGTCTCTTATAACAACACTAGCTGGTCCACAGATACCAGTGGGGACCTAGAACTCTCCCCCAGCAGGGGAAGCCTGTGCTGCAAGGGCCTTGCCCTCCGAAAAATAATTTTTGAGGGGTCCTCCATGTGTGTGTGTATGTAATTTACTTGTTTTTATAGAGGCGGGGTTTCACTATGTCACCCAGGCGGGTCTCGAACTCCTGGGCTCAAGCAATCCTCCTGTCCACTCTTGTCTTCTAGAAGGAGGGAGCTGGGCTGGCATAGCACCCCTGGCCTCTCTCCGCCCACTTCATCTGGCCGGAGAGTTTTAAAGGAGAAAGTGGCATTTTGGAAGGAGCACGTTCCAGGGGGGCACCCTGGCATGGGTGGGTGAGCAGAAGAAGCAGCGGGTGCAAGGTGTCCTGTGCGTCCATCTTGTGGGTGCTCAGGCAGAAACAGGACGGACCAAGTGAGACTGGGAAAAAGTTGCTCCCTCCGCCCCACTTGCTTCCTTTATCTGTAGGGTAGGGGTTGGCCAGAGACACTTGTCCAGGCGTCTGTAATGCTGTAAAGGGCCCCGCAGCCTGGGGTGGGCTCCCCAGATGCCACTGTGCCCACAGCCACAGGGGAACAAGGCATCTGTGCGTCCTCAGAGCAACTTGGGACGGGCTGGCCGGCCCCCTTCTGTCTGAATGCTGTTCACGTAATTTTTTGGTTGGGGTCTCACTCTGTCTCCCAGGCTGGAATTCAGCGGCACCATGAGGACTCACCAGAGCTTTGACCTCCTGGGCTCCTGAGTAGCTGGGACTACAGGCACGCCCCACCACACCTGGCTAACTTCACTCTGCTGCCCAGGCTGGTCTAGAACTTCTAGGCCCAAGCAGTCCTCCTGCTTCGGCCTCCCAAAGTGCTGGGTTTACAGGCATGAGCAGCCACGTCCAGGCCTCACAAGGACAGCTGTGACGGCTGTGATTACGAGAGCTACCAGGGACGGGCATTTGCTGTGTGTCTGCCTGTAGTCCCAGCTACTTGGGAAGCTGAGGTGGGAGGATGGCTTGAGCCCAGGAGGCCGAGGCTGCGGTGAGCTGTGACCTTGCTCCTGCCCTCCAGCCTGGGCGACTGAGTGACACCCAGACTCAAAACAAAGAAAAAAATAAAAAGGTTCTGGCACTGACAAGAGCATGCTGAGCCTGGGGGGTGTGATTTGGGGTGACTAGAAGACAGGATGTGGCTTGGGCTGTTTTGGGGGGAGCCCCGGCT